CAGTCAAAACATTCACATATGCGATCCTTCCACATCTTCAGCAACAAGCACAGAATTCCAATTCCGATTCTCCTGGTAACATTTTGATTAAATATCTGTCTCGCCTTAAAAAATTATAAGAGAAAGAAGATTATTATGGCCTAGAGAGAATGAGGCACCTGGGTGTAACCAGATGTGCCTGGCATGCTCACTACACTAAGAGGAAAAGCAAGACGGACATATAACCAGATTTTGACCGGTACCATCAGTATTAGAACTCTTCGCTGGCTGCTAAAGATAAGGATAGAGCATGCATGGGAATGCCCTGAGTGCTGTGATGTCAATATTCTTGACTCATCTCAACTCAGCTCAACTACTAATAATAATTAGAAAAAGAAAAAGAAGCAGAAATATAAAAAGAATATGAGAGTGATGATGAGGATGATGATGATGATTATGATAATGACAATGATGAGTAATACTTATAATCTCAGCCAACTTTATGAACTCAGTCCGGTTACAAGTTTGAGCTTTAATCCCATCGTTAAAAAAAAATAATCACTTGTCATACACACGACCATTTCCACATGTTGTAAGTAATCCTGATGACGTTGTTCACTGACATCAAATGTAAAATTGTGAATCGAGAAGTATACGAAACAATCAATCAGTCATCGTATTCCTGGCGCATAGGGTCGACAGTAATGGTTGTACAGGGCTCGCGATCTATTCGTCCTTTATGTCTAACCTGTGTAATCTTCCCCATCGGAAATCCTCTCCAGTGCCTCTGTCATCTCTCAACAACAAGCAGATGTGGTGAAGGTTCTATGGGATCAAATGGACAGTGCAAAAGAATAGAAATGGAATCCAGTAGCTGAAAGACTAGTTCAACAGGGGGTAAGTAGAGGTTCTGGGAAATATTCAACTTTGAAGGGGGAAACAGAGGTGGACTTGTAATCAGGCGACTGCAATCTGTACTTTTAACAATCATGTGTAATTTCTCGTTGGTTACTGAAGGGAGGAACGGTGCACGTGTGGGAATGTCACTAGTGTCAATTCTTGATTGATTAATTGACTGTCTGATTTATTCATTCTTTGATCTGAGGATTTCTCACAACTGATTTGGATCAATGTCGATGCCTGCTTGTGATGAATCTTGCGTTTCTTCTTAAAGATGTGTCCAGAATAGTGTCATTGGCTGTGTATTATTAGTGATAACTGTCACAAGACGATGTTATCACGTGTCTTTCTTAGGGTCTCCTCTAGTAATAAAAGACACTCCGAAGTGACATACTGAACTAATGGTGGCTCGTATTGGTAAAGGCGGTACTTCGCCGATGCTTGAACTATTCGATATTTAACTTCTGTAATACATCTTTCCGTCCCATTTTATCTTTGTGCCCAAGTACTCAAACATGGCAACTTGCTTGAGGTTTGTCCCCTTCACTTTGATGCTGCATTTTGAAGGGTCAGTTTTCTTTGTGTCCTTATACTGTCAGTCCTTTGTTTCAGTTTATGGAGATTTCTTATATTATTGAGACTGATTATACCCTACATTGTTATACATAACTTACTTTTGTTGGTATCTGGTATTGCTCAAGTCCCTTTAGTTAAGTATATGTGTGCATTGGTATTATGTTACATGTTTGTTGATACTGTGTCTGTTTGACTGGTATAGGGATCCTGTCCAGTCTGGGAGATATTAAGTAATGAGAAAGTCTGGCCATGCTGTTCCCAGGAATATCTGAAGAAATTCTGTGGTGCCAAATACTTGAGTCGCCTCATCCTTGAAGTTGTGTTGAATGTTTGTTGGAATGTTTGTTGCTATAAAGCTAAAACTAAGACTAACAGACTACCAGACTACCAATTGCAAATCTTTTTATTGTACTTGTGGAGCACCATAAATTTCTTATTCTTTCAAGATGATAGTGTCCAATTGTATTAAAGGGACGCATGCGAATAACAAGACTTGGAAATCCTCTCCATAGCGTAAAGCCTGGGCAATTTTGTAAGGACGTTCTGTTGCCCACTATCGGACTGGATAAAGAATAATACCCTGCCCCTTTTAGTTCAACATCCAATTTTGTAAGAAATTACTCTGTGTGACGTTAATCAACGGTGCTGATAAACCTCGACGTGCATGGTTGTTCTTCAACGTGAGTTGGTTGAGAGCCTGTGCTCCATCGGGTGTTAAAAAGGCAGAAGAAAAGAAGAAGACGAATACTTTATTGAAATCTTTTTAGTAGTCTTACTACAAATCTGTTCACCCTTAGGAAATGCAAACGGTGATATATAGAGAATGAGAAACAACAGCGACATTCGTAAAAATTTTTAAATCAGCACTACATAATGGCATCATGAGGGTTAATAGACTACGATAACTGGGGCATTTAGAGAGAATAGCAGAAAATAGAGAGTAATAATGATGTTGTAAATAGGGATAACGTCAGGGTATGACTGAGTGACAGAACTCTAGTGTGAAAAGCAGGGGTTTTGCGGGAGATGGTACAAAGACAAGAGATAAGCCATTCAGGTGTGAATGCGAGATTTGGGGAATTTCGGATGAGGTGGTCATTCTGTGACCGGACCCAGAGTTGGAGGAAGTGAAACTGAATCAAGAGTTATAAGTATGAACATGGATCTGGATGAGAACGTCAGTCCTGAACGACAAGGTTCAATGCTGTGTTGAAGTACTGTTTATGACAGCAGTTGTGTTCTACGGCCTGTTGGTTCTGCCAGTCGTGTACATGCCCGTGGCCATCGTCTGAAGCGTGAATGAAGACTTAGAGCGAGGGCAAGGCGTAAAAGATTAGTTCTACTGACTTGATTCTTGTCGCTTGTGTTGTATTGTTAATAAACCCGTGAATTGCTGTCAACTTTCGTCGACTGTCGTTTAAAGACGTCTGACAGTTAGAGAGAAGCAAAAGTTTGGTTGGAATGAAATGTGACATGGCACCTAGACAACATAACTTGTGTTGAATCTACACGAAGGAGACTAAGTGCGGAGGTGACACATTACAAGAGACAAACACTTCGTACACAGAAGAGTTGATTAGATGTAGACCAACAAGTAGACGATGAAGAGGGTGGACAGTTAATATGCTTGTAGATCCGTAAACATTTAGAGTTACCAACTGAAAGGGAATGGGCAATCACAGAAATAAGTGGAGGCTAATGCTGTAATGCATTTCAAAAGGTCAGAAGAAGGAGGAAGAAGAACGAGAAGACTGCATAAAGAAAACCTACTTTTTTTTTTAAATTAACATATTAAATTACATAATTAAAAATAAACCTCGTCTAACTTGAACTCGCTTGAGACGACTGTAAATATGAACATAAATAGATCCCAGCAGTGAGTTATAATTATTTGACCAAGGTAGCATAATTTTTAACACAAACTCTTGATTTTTTTTTTTTTTTTTTTTGAATTCGTCTAAAGGAGATTTGCTGTAAACTATGTTACTGCAAAAAAAAAAAATGCCCATATTTTCTTCTTTTTTGTTTTAATAATCGTCTTCTTCTTTGCGTTTCCCAGCTGTAAACTTTGGTGGAAAGTTCTGGTTGTTCGTCCACTTATGGACTGCAGTCCTGATTCAGAACCTAAGAGGTGCTTGTACATCCGTTTGACAGATCTGACTCATTTTTGTGCAGACTGTTAGTTCTTTGACTTTTAGTCAGATGCACCCCACTTCGAAGGTAGCTCCCAGTTATTTGACTCTTTACACAATACTTTTGGGTAGGCAGTGGGTCTATTCTTGATTTCCCTATAGTAGGGCTCCGGAACACACACGAGGATTTTTTAATAATGATCTTCGAGGACCATTAAATTTGATAAGATGATAACAAACTCAAAAAGCGAAGTTACTTCAGTTGCGATTTAATTCCGTACATTTACAAATGAATTGTTGTTCTTTCATATTTATAAATAGTTAAAACCCAAAATTACATCCCAGATTTCACGTGTTACATTTCACAAATCTTCGGACCATGTGTAACATGTGTAACATTAATGTGTAACATTAATTGACTAAAAATGCTTTAATGATTTTTGTATGGTCTTAATCATAATTAGAAAATACTAAAAAAAAATAAACCGTCAACTAGATTGTATTTATTTTTTACTTTCCTAATATTGCATTCTTTGAAAGAGAATTTGACTTAATTATGTGTGTGTCTATATATATATATATAAACCAAATCAATTATAAATCACATGTTTATATACTTTTATAATCATAAAAAAGGTATACGGACAAAGAGCGCTAATACATACTACTGATATAGACGAATCACAGATCACTAACTGTTTTACTCCCATCTGCTGACTCAAAGATACCACACTTCAATGGTGTTCTACACTTTGCTGTCTCCATTATATCACAGTTCGGTAATTGTCGTTTGCTACACTCTGCTGATTTATATATACCACTGATTACTGACTACGTGTTACATCCTCCTGCTGTCTCATTTTGTTCTGCTACCCTGTGCCGTCTCAGGTACCACTAATTTGTTTGACTAGATTCTTCTGTTTTTCGTATTTAATAATTTACCTACTCCTAATTCACTCTACCTTCTGCTGACCCTTACACACCACCCTCTTATGACTCTTGCATAATCTCCTAATTGTATTTGCTAAAATTTCTCCATTGACCCAGGCACAGTCTCTAAACTTTATATGATAACCTACCACCCATTGCCTCTGGTATAATCTCTAGCTTTTACATGATAACCCCGTTAAATTGAACTTAGGAAATCTGTAAATAGTCACTGATAACCGTCTTATAATGATTCTAGAATAATCTCCAAATATTATATGATGACCTACCTTCCAATAATCCTGACATAATCACTAAACATTATACAATAAGCCATTTTTCACCCATCCTAGCAAAATCTCTAAATATTATGTAATAAACCTCTTACATTGACACATAGTATCTTCGAATTAGACGATAACCCACATTCTATTGGCGCTAAAATAATCTCTAAAAAGCAGGTGGTAACTGACACTGGAGGCAACTCTAAATATTATACGTAGTTTTCAGAGTTGAATAGATCCTCGCCTCCTCCACCACTCGTTCAGGTAAGCTGAGAGCGACTCCTCCCTCAGTTGCGGGGAGAATAACGGCCTCTACAGTCCTCTCTTCTGCAGATCTCACCATGTCACCTCCAACAAGCGCCTGGACCTGTCCCTGGGAGACTGCATGGTTTACCGTAAAGTTCATGTCCACGTTGTCAGTGACCAGGGCAACTTCGGGTTTTCTGCGAAATGATTCTCGCAAAGCTGCAACTTCTGCGTCATCCTGAAAAGGGCGTAAAGAATAAATACACACTGAGAACCTAAGCACCAAAATTTAAAAAAACATTGACGGTGGGGAGGCACAGCCTAGACCCGCTTAACAGCATTATAAGCCACTGGCAAAACAGTCTTCGGGGGCCCATAAAACAACAACCACTGACTGCAATTTAATGTGTTTATACTGCAAGTCAGTTGACATAGACAAACTAGTAGGGCAGGTGTCCAGTGAGCTTATTCGTTAACGCGGTGCTAGTTCAGTCTCCTAATAATGTTGCATGTGCACGCTTCAAGATGTTACCGAGACAGACATTCCGACAGAAGAGAAATATCAGCGAAGTCCAAATCATCAAGCTGTTTTTTAGGGGCTCACTGAATTCCATTCCTGGTTATAGCAGTTACTGTCTTTATAATTCAGTAAATTGACAGTTATAATAGGAGAGGCCCAAAGACATCACAGTAGCACATCTGTTCTTATGTCAAATGTACTTATTAGCTTTCCCTAATGAAAAACACGACATGTCATGTCTATATATGTTGCCTTTACAAAGTTAATAATTTTCTGTAGGATTCCATAGTGCCCCATTTATTTTCTGTGACATTCACTATCTATCCTGTGAAACGCTTTTTCAAAGTATATATATCCAATATATTGCAATTGGTTAATTCAATTCAAACCTTCGCACTACTTAATACGTAGGGTGGTTATCTGGTCAGTAGAGCATCTGTTTGGCCAAAAAACCTGCCTATTCATCTCTTAGGTTTTTATCGATAACATCGTTTAGTCTTTCCAAAACAATTCCACTCAGTATTCTTTTATGAAATGACAGCTACATAATTTCTCTATATTATTCACACTCTTGTAGGTCACCTTTTTGGGGACCGGGAGAGGGGAGGGTGGGGAGGGAGTAGTTCCACAACATATCCTCCTCTCCGGTCTAATGGTATTTAATCGCGCTTCCAGACTTTACTGAAGGATCTATGTAGCAATTCCGTTGATGTGTGTATATTGGCCTTAATAACGTCTGCTGGAATACTTAAGAACGTTTGCTCTAATACAGTTTGGTCCGGCCGCCTTTCCTTACTTCAGAAGAGGGATATTGGATATCTGGAGGAACCTCTGGTGCTGGTCAGTTCAAAAGTATTTCAAAATATTCAGCCTACCTGTCCTTAGATCTGTATTGTTGGTGGGTACCATTCCCGGAATATTTATGATTAATCAAATTGGTTGACCTTATTTGCCTACTTATGTCCTTGTGTTTCTGCAAAGGTCTCTAAGGTTTCCTTTAGCTGCCGCTGTCTCAGCTTCTTGTGCTAGGTCATCTAAATATGTCTTTTTATCTGCCCCTATTCGCCTCCTAACCTTTTTGAGCGCCTATGTATTTTTCCAAGCCCTTGCTTTAGCAACTCTAGTTTTGCTATTGATTAATTCTGCCCTTTTACTTTTCTTTTCTTTTCTTCGATATAAAAAAAAATAGTTTCTACATTTTTCACAACTTAGGTTTCTGTTCTTTCTTACGAAGGACTTTTACACACGATTCAATACAAATACCCTTGATAAGGTATCCAGTTTTGTCCCTTTTAGGACGAAATTTTATGTTATTTGAAGCCCCACCCTGGCTTTTGCCAGGGGCCGCAATATAGGCAGGCCATAAATATGGCCAATTGTTTAAACGCGGTTTTTGGGACCTCTCCACGGCGATCCTCATCCACATGGTGGTACTTTGTGTCATCGGGTGTTTATCGTTTGTGTGATGTCCTGGTGGGGTAGAAAGTCAGTCAGTCAGCCCTTGATCTGATCCCACCAGACTTCAGTGTTTACTTCTTCAGCTTTCTGCTACAACACCCGGTACTTATTAGAAACTTTAACTGAAAATTATTCTTTAACCTCTAAATTCCTGAGATAACCTACATTATACTGGTTTCTATAATTATAAGCTGTAATGTCTTTTAAGTTTCAACTTGATTCTACTTACCAAAAGAAAATGGTCAGTAGATACATCAGCAGCTCTAAAAACCCTATCACAAAACATTGATAATCAAAATGTTTTATTTATTCATATATGATCAGTGTGGTTGATTCTCACGTTGTCTTGTGTGTTCTTGTATGTGGGTAAATGCTTTCACCAAAAACATACTGGTTCACTGAACACACATTTGCAAATAATTCACCATTTTTGTTGATCACTCATAGTCCATGTTTTTCCACAATCTCTTCATAACCTGTGTTATCTGATCCTGTTATAGCATGCAGGTCACTTATCAACATTTGACTGCATTCAGATGCACCGGCTTGAGGTTGTTTGTGTTTCAGGTCAAATTACATTTGACTTCATATTTTTCTTAGCCTACATAGTCTCCTCTCTTTTTGTGTGTAGGGATTCATATATTGTTGTTTTTGAAAGTCTAGTAGGAGTTATAAAGGCGGGATGGTCGTCACACAAAAGCAACATTACAAGATGACAAAGAATAAATTGGACTAAAACAAGAGTTAAAATATTGCAATATAAAGACAAAGGTGGAGAGCAAAATACACTCTCTCAAACTCACTCACACAAAAAAAAAACACACACACACACACACAGAGAGAGAGAGAGAGAGAGAGAGAGAGAGAGAGAGAGAGAGAAGAAAGGGAGGCTTTTAGTAAAATCGATTTTAAATATAGAGTTGGCACTTGATTTATATATGATCATCACATCATGGTGGTGAATTAATAATATTATTAAAATCGGTGAGAAAATTAATCAACAAACCAAGATGTTCATCTGCGCCTGGAGAGTCATGAGGTCCCGAGCATTACTGTACATGGCACCACCATTGGTCGCTGCAAAACCACGTTCATCTGAGGAGCACAAGGGAAGCACGCATTACAATGGTTTGATGAACACCTGTTGAAGCAGGCGAAGGATTTTGCATACCTGGAAGCATTTTTCAGAAGACAGAAGAATTAATAAAGAAATCCGTTAAAGATACAATAAAGCCAGTCGAGTTTTTTTTCCAAATAGCATCAATTTTGTAATTTTGAAATGCAAGCATGTGAATATTACACTAATAGAACACAGCTCAATAGAATAGTGTTACCAGTGTTATGCTATTAGTGTCAAACATGGACACTGTCTTCAGAAGACAGAAGGAAAATAGTTACGACAGAAATGAAATGTTTACTTACTACGCTAGGTGTTACAAGAAAGATCGACATAGAAACGATGATATCAGGAGGGAGTCGGCATAGAACCAATCCTGAATTTTATAGGTAAACAAATCAAATTGTTTCCCTTTGTAACAATATTGGCATAAGATATGTACCACAGATATCAATGTTATACAGTTACAGCGGTATCTGAGCCAAAGGTCAGCCACGCAGAATATGTACTGCAGAAATATCAGAGACACTGAAAAGTAAGTTATGGGAAGCGAACAGAAATACCTGTTCTATAGATCTTTTCCTGCCCTGACGCCGTTAGGCATTTCAGAAGTAGAGAAAAGAAGAAGAAGCATGTGAACAAAGGATATTCTATATGTTCAGTCGGACATATTGTGAGAATCACTTACTGGCTGAAGAGTTTCCGCTGGCGATGTAGTTACTGTTGCCGCCCATGAGCCTTCTGTCCATACTTTCCTCCTGCCTGCGGTCCATGGACTGACTGGCAAACATCCCGCTTTGTTCCGCGTATGAAGACGACATGGCAAACCCAGACCTCGCCGTTTGATATTCACCTTTGACCAGCCCGACCTGCCGAAATACATTTCAACTGAGACATGGTGATACAAACGGTGAGGGACAACGAAAACGAGGTTCGGGTCCAGAAAGCAGCCCAGCAGTCGCCGCAGGGCCATTGGGTCAGCCTGGAGAGCGCATTGCCGAGAATACTCACATGGGGTGAGATCTGGCGGATGACCCCGCTGCGACTGAGCTTTATCGTTCGCTCGGCGTACGATGTATTACCGTCCGGTGTTAATATGGTTAAATGGTCTGCGACCAACGATCCGACTTGCCCGCTGTGCAAATCAAAGCAAACTCTTGAGCACGTCCTGTCCGCGTGCAGGAAAGCTCTAGGTCAAGGCCGATATACCTGGCGCCACAACAAGGTGCTAAAGGAGTTAGCAGCCGTTGTCGACCAGGCTAGAATGAGGGCTAATGCCAGAGCCAGTTCTAGTATCGCCCCCATTCGTTTCCTCAAGGCTGGGCAGGTTCCAATTGGTAAGGTCAACAAAAACGCATTCGCTCCATCTGTGCTAGACTCTGCGAGGGACTGGTTACTGGCGGTTGATCTGCCAGGCCATGAACGGTGTCCCGAGTTGATCCGTAAAACCGGCCTGCGACCGGACATCGTTCTCCATTCTGCGCAAAAACGGCAGCTCATCCTGATTGAGTTGACGGTCCCGTTTGAGTCGCGTATGGAGGAGAATCATTTGTACAAGCTCGAGAAGTACAGTGATTTAGCAGCCGGTTTGAGGAGAAACGAGGCTTACACAGTACGGGTTTTTGCCGTCGAAGTGGGAGCGAGAGGCCTCGTTTCCACTTCGCTCTACAATGTGGTGAAAGAACTAGGATTGCGCGGTAATGAACGGAAACGAACACTCAAAAAACTGGGAGAGGCGGCCGAAAGGGCCTCTAGCTGGCTTTGGACGCAGCGCAACAACGTAGGGGACGGGCCTCGGTGAGCTGGTCCGGGTATCTAGTGGAAAAGAGTTTCTTATCCCTTTGAAAAGTTCATCGTGTACGAATTGTCTGCCAGTGTCCCTCTGCCAACTGCTAATAAAAGTCCAACATGTGTCCGGTAAACCAAAGTAAGCTTGTCGCTCGGTCGTCCAGGCATGCGGACTGTTTTAATTACGCTGTCGCGGCGGCTTCTTATCTCACAGTACCTCCTTCGAAACCACTAAGTCGTCTTGTCTCTGGCCGAAATAATAACACCATCCGGTAATTCTGTGCAGCGGGGAACCAGCCCTGAGCTTCATGAACTGAGGTGGGCCCACCTCCGAATACGTTTAGGAATCGTGGGCCGAAACGTGTGTCGACGAGGATAATTTCTACTGATGACTGGTAGATTCCCGCTGTACTTGCTCCCTGTGAGTTTATTCTTACAACTGGAAAGTTAAGAACCATTTTTCACACCTTTAGGCGCATAGGGCATATAAATCTAGATCTATATTTGTATAGACCAATCGACAGAAGATAGATGATGTGGTCAGCATCACGCTGCCGCCTTTACTTCATAGGACTGCACCTGGTACCCACTCAAGTCGACTTGGGAGCGAAGGACATTTTTGAAAAAAGTCCGGCTCCACCAGGAAGCGAACCCACGACCTTCTGATCTGCATGCGGGTCTAGCCGCTACGCCACGGCGACTACATTTCAAGTGTGTTCAGAATTTAATGCAGCCAATTATTTCACGAAGGCAAACATACATAACATAACATAGCCCTTGACCCGTTAGGGTCATGGAGGTGTATCGATGAAAGCACAAACACATCTCTCCGTATTTTGCTTGATGAATAACTTTGCCCTGTCTATTTCTTGATGTCTTACTCGGTTCTGATGGTTGTAGGTTCAAACCCGTGTCAAGCCCGGGTTGTTCAAGAAATCACATTGACCTCTAGTTTGACTCAACCTAAAATGTAAACCACGTGCAATCATGGGAAGTGAAGTCAGCAGGCGTAATGCTGACTATGTCACCCACAGAGTGCCACGTAGTCTATAAATCATAGGTATAACACTATGTTATAGAGTAGAATGACTCCAGGCGTACACATTTCAAGGACATGTGTGCCGTTTAATATAAGGCTACAGTGTAATACTCCACGGAGAACACAAATGAAAGCCTTTTTAAGATTTAAACCCCTTCCTCAGTGAACACAGAGGCCGTGCTCTAACAAAAGCCACCACGCACAGATATTTTGAATTGGAAGTACACGCTTTGTTTTCGAGCCAGAAAATGCGACTATTAATTGAATTCGCGAACACCGTTTTTTTTTTAATAATATGTATAGAGGCTACTGATACAAGGATGTCACTGGCTTGTACTTGACACAAGAAAAGGAGTTAGAATTGTATCATACATATCGCCTAACACTTGTTTTCCTGACTAATTTTATGAAACACCTTATGTGATTAAAGTGAGTGCAATGTGATATACAGTTCTAGAAAACTTTCCAATAGTTAACCAATCGAAATACGAGGAACAGAACATGTAATGAAATATAGGCAGAAAGGGGTTAAATGAACAAGCATACATTTCAGACCACCACACGGCGTACTAATCCATCACTGTGTGAAATGACAGAAATAGGTGATTAGAAAGCCATGGCCTAGCCAGCTATGCAGAACACAAAGCCATGACATCTTACAGTGAGGGATGAAACATTCGACGAGTGCCCGTTAACTGTGACCAGCGGATGAGATAGTTCATCCAGACGTGACCACCAAAGACAGGTGACAGAGAAGTGATGGAGAAGGTACGCCAAAAAGAGCGGGAAAGGGGAAGAATAAAGTTAGTCCCGGAACAGCTAGAACGGTTAGTTAGTCCCGGAACCGCTGGCGAGGACGGTTAGCCCCGGAACCGTCATGAGAAGACAGTTAGGGCTAGACTGCTTGAGAGACCAGTTGAGAAAACTAGTGCTGTACTTCGTTAGAAGGTATATGTTAAACTTGGAGTTTAGCTAGAACAGTGAGTGAGTCCCGGAACCGCTGGAGAGGACAGTTAGCCCCGGAACCGCTGGAGAAGGGAGTAGGGCTAGACCGCTAGAAAGACCGGTTAGGAGAAAACTAGTGCTTTACTTCGTTTAGAAGGTATATATTAAACTTGGAGTGTAGCCAGAACAGTGGTTAAGGAACTCGTAGAGGCATACGAATAGCCAATAATAAGGAGCGTTCATATACTATTGCGTATTGAATTTATGAAATGTGTGTGACGAGAATATTATGAAAAAACCAGCTCTTATGTAATTGATTACATCACTGGCCTTGTTCTTGAGTACGATTGAAGAGAGATACGAACTATATTCATTCCACTTGGCCGACTTAGGCACATCTATTGCTTGGGGGATGTACAGACGCCCCGTTTAGACAAGTGTGAGGATATTTGGATGCCGTGACCAACGATCAGTCTTGTGTACTCGACATCTTTAAAAACAAGACTGCTGTTACAACAAAACAAATAAGCAACTGCTATAAAAAGGTTAACTAAAAGCAAGTTCATGATTTTGCCTGCTGAGTAAGAAAAGTCGAGAAAAACTGTCATCAGAATAGAGAGACGTAAACCAGACCAACAGCCTGCACCACCTTTTGGAGCCAACCGTCTACACTAGAATCAGGGGGACACGCCCGTTCTAGCCTGGAGCAAACCGTCTACACTAGAATCAGGGGGACACGCCCGTTCTAGCCTGGAGCAAACCGTCTACACTAGAATCAGGGGGACACGCCCGTTCTAGTCGGGAGCCATAATATAAACTTTTCCTAACTTTACACACTCGGAAGACTATAGGAAAGTCAAGAACTGTGAGCTGTCCGATTTTACAAATAGGAACTGCAAAATAAGCGTGATTTTCAAGAACCTTGAACATTAATATTAATTAGTTTAAATATATTGTGATTTTCAATTTACAGTGGTGTAGGAAAACTTTTTTCTTATCTTTCCCTACCTTTCCTTTTAACTTAGAAAATATTTCCAGGACAGTGCCGATTTTAATTACAGTGTGTTGTGAAACGAAAATTTCTTTTTCCAGACCGCACTTAACAAGGTAATACGACATTTTCTTTTTTAAATTCTAATTTGGTTTACATTAGTTTATTTTCCAGGTTTTAATAATGGCATATCAAGGAACAGTGAGAGCACAGTTTAGCAGAGTTTTCAATGAAGTAGCACAGTTAGGTAGAAAACTCCGTATTCCATTTTTTATGGAACAAATAACTGATCAGCATTGGTCAACTGTAAATAGTCGTAGACAAAGACAGAGAGAAAGAAGTTGTAATATAGCTACAGTCACTAGAAGTAACGGCGATGTTAATCGACTGTCCGGTTTCCCAGACAGGCGAAATTATGCTAACGAGAGATTGCAATACCCTAGAGACAATCAGTACCGCAGACCAGACAGCACAAACGCGTACGAGAAAAATCAGGGTCAACTGAGGTCATGTGTACAAAATGAACTAGGGCATTTTAAAATTTTCCATACAGCAGACAGGTTGAGAAAATTAGAAAATAATAGACATATAAGAGCACAGGAGCAGTGGCATAATAATAGTAACAGATATCAGAACATAAATAGAGTAGGAAATATCCATGATAATAACCGAAGTCGAGTCAGGTCATGTAATCCAGATTCCAGATTTAGCACGATGAGCACTAATCAAGATTACAGGGCCCACGGTACGACCCATAATCAAGCCAACAAATTCAAAAGAGACAGGTTAAGAAAATTAGGCTATAATAAGAATATAAGATTGCAAAACTTAGGAAATAATCGCGAGGTCAGTAACTATAACGGATTATGGCAGACAGGTAATAAAAGCCCGTGCGCTGCTGATGATGAGACAAATAGATTAGTAGTAAAAGGGTTAAAAGAGAGGAACCTCATGAAACGGTTTAATAAAAGCTACATTAACGAAGTAAATGCGGTAACCGTAAACGGGAAACTCGGTCAATACTTTAAAGAGGAAGGGAACATAGAGAAACATAAAGAGTTAACACCGACTAAAGTTAAGTCGGAACAAGAAGAAGATGAAGAGGG